AGCTCCTCCTTTTGTTTACAATACCTGAAGTTAGTTTACTGAAACCAAGATCAGTGTTCCCACCATAATATGAAAGGTTCTCAAAACCTTCATATCTATTCCCAGATTGACTGTCTGTTCCCAGTAGCAGCCAAGGACAGAACGGTCTGAGAATCTTGTTGTTTATATAGAAGGTAGCTGAGAACCTAATTATTTACAGGATCAAGCCTGGGAAAGGCTGCTTTTACAGCAGGCTTCTATATTTCTTTAAGGCACCTATCGTTCTTGAACCAGGCTCTCCACAATAATGGAGTCAAAACTGCTGCCAGCTGAAGCTGAAGAAAAATGAAGAAGAGACCAGACTTTCCCAGAAATATCAGCTGTCTGAAAATAGTGAGATTTGATGATCTGGAGAGAGGCACATTGAATACTAATCCTACCCCATCCTCACTGTCCCCTGAGAGCACGGCTGCTCCTCCTCTGGCCAGGAAGGAGATTCCTGGGCTGAAGTGTCTGAAGTGACCCGAACACAAAGAGAAACCAAGACAGTTATCATGATTTATAACCAAGTATTTAGTGCAGTTCAAGCATCACAGAGAAGTTCATATACTTTTTATTAAATAGCACAGATCCTTAGATTATATTATTCTACTGACTTAAATAAATAAGAAAACATTAAAACCATTATTTCCTGGTTTCTGTTTCTTAGAATAAAAAGCACTGAATGTATCTCTGTTCCTTTCGGAGATATGCAACAGACTTCCTCTGTGCGTTTCAGAAGCACCTTCTTCATCTTTTTTCTTAATTTCTCTTTCTCTGGATTAAGCTATACACCCACAGAGCAAGCATAAACAGCAAAAAATCCTCTGCCCTAGCCAATAACCATATGTAAGGAACAGAGGAGTCCTGTGATCAGTGACATCTGCAGCAAAGCAAATTGTGAAATGCATCGGTGACCACCTAAGTTTCGTAATTAGTGTCCTAAACCAGTAACAGTTTCAGAGCATCATAAATTTCTATGTTTACCTTCTTTCAGGAGTCTATGATAAGGACACTGGGAGATTATACTGGAAAAATCAAAGAACTTATGCCTCAAAAGTCAAAGCCCAAGTATGGTGAAAACTCAAAAAAACAACAAAAAAAAGGGGTTGGGAAGTGGACAGAAAACACAGAGACAACTACTGAAATAACAATTTCAGTTAAATGCATGATCATGCCATGTGGCTCTGCTCTGGGTAGCCATTAATGAATCCTGACAAACCTTCTCCAAATCAGGCATAGGTAGATGATAGGATTAGTCAAACTAACCAAAGCACATGGTGCAGAGCTCAGGTTGGCTTGAAGCCACAGACAGGAATCTAATGCAGCAAGGCTAAACCCTTCCATGTTAACACAAATTATGCCTGTCCTTAGGGCCTCCAGTAATACACCACACATGGGAGTAACATAAATTTCTGCATCCTAACAGCACACAAATCCTTCATCAAGTTCCAGAGTATATCAGGTACCCTATAAAATCTAATAAAACAAAGGCATGCAAATACATAGAATACACCTTGTCTCTTACACTGAACAAATTGTCTTCTCCTTACATTAAAACCATGTTTGTAAGTACTTGCAAAAAAAAATTACACCAACAATTTCAACAAAAATGTAAATGTACATATTTATGAAAACTACAGAAGTCACAATGAGCTCTATATTAAGGGAATCTGTGTGCTTCAAGAACACAGCCTGAGGGTATAGAACAAGAAGACTCTTGGTTTCACATCATTTGCAGCCACTCCCACACACAATATGGACACCACAGAACTTGTGACTATCCTATGAATGCTTTACAGCCCGATTTCCATCAGCTTAAGCCCCTCTGGTAAAGCTATACTGCAAAGTCACTTCCACATCAGAGATCATTTTACTGCCTTGAGAAAGAAGCTCTCCAGAAAGGTTTCTAGTATCATTAAGACGCCTAGAACAAACAAAACTAGATCTAAAAAATTAACAAGCATGCCCTCCTGGATAGGGGGGGGAAGAAGGGGGAGTATCCTCAGACCCACTGTAGTTTTACTTCTATAGTTTAACATCTGCATGTTAGTTACTGCACAGAAGTTTATGTAGACTACAAAAACTGACAATGCTTCACCACAACACAATGAGTAGTCTACAAAATATTTTATTGTTGATTACTTCAAAGGCAGGCACAGACTGGGTAATGCTGGTATTTCAGGTCAAGGTGATATTTTAAGATCTGTGTTCTACTCGACAGCAGCAGAACCTTGTTCTTGTCAGAGTAATGTGAATCCTCCACTGTCTGTTTTTAGTAACTTTTTATTATCTTAGGTCGAAGAGGTTTCAAGAAACCAGATCATGCATACTTTCGCTTTTATTTGAAAGGATCTGGGCGCATTTTTGCATCAGGGGCACTAAAAATTTTTAAGTTTTCTCCAAGGCTGGAATTTCTGAACATATGACAACCATAGCAACTAGAATTTCTAAACTTACTACAAACATAGCTTTAAGTTTATACACAATTCTTTAGAGTTCTACTTGCAGTTCACTTACTAAGTTGTAAAATTCACTATTTCATTTTTCCTACAGGGTTCAAAGCATGTCCAAGCAGAACTAAAAATATTATACACTTCCTTCAATACAGAAGTCCAGACACAGCCTTCAAGCAAAGTTCTAAACTTCTTCCCTTCTAAACATAACTGAGAAAGTAAGAACTTGGACATTAAAAATAACTGCTCTGCATGGCAGTATCAGTTAAGCAGGTCTTCTCTCTAGAACAGACTTTTCTTCCCCTGTACTACTTCACACTGCTACAGCCCAGAACCATTTCATTTACATTACTCTGTGCTTCAGTCATCTCACTAGGCACCTTTCCCATACCCTTTCACAAACTTGAGACTCAAAGGCCCAAGAATTTCAGTTCCTTTCCAGCCAGCTAGTCAGAGACCTTTAATAGATCTTGATCCACATCCCCAAAACAGCTAATTCCATGCTGTGTATCAACCCTCAGCACACACTGCTACTGCCTTGGCTAGCCCTGGGAACTGCAATACCCTGAATTAACAAATGCATCTTTCTGCTGAAAAAGAGACATTCATCCAATCTTAAAAACAGGCAATACCACAAGTTACTATCTTCATGGATGTTCAGTGATAAGATCCTACATCATAACATAAAGGAACAAACAAAACTTATTCCAAGATGCTGTAATAACACAGGAGGCCAAGCTGCCCTTGACCTAGTTAAATAGGAACGAAGAGTCCACATTTTGGTTTCCAAGAACATATTTTTCAAGAGCCCTAATTAAAAAAATATTTCCATGTAGAGAAAAACCTGATCTAATATTTCAAGTATACTGATAGCAAGTGCTGTATTTACTGACAAAATGACTACCCACAGATACCAGGAGCAAAGTCATGAGAATTAGATCAATTGATACAACGCAGATTCTTTTACTCTTGTTGAAACCAGACCAGGCTTTTCTGAGCACCTCATGTGAACCCCAGCCTCCTAATCCCCTTCAGCCAAGGATTCCAGGAGGCCAAGCACTACACTGTCAGAAAGTTCAGATCACCTCGTAAAATTTATACAGCATATGATGTAACATGTTACCTTAACCAGGCTCTATGAGTCATCAATTTTACCTGAAACATATTCTCATCTCTGTTACTGCTTTGCTTAGAAGAAGCTGCACCTTTTGAACTTTCACCAGTCTTTTGTTTCTTTACAGTCTTTTCTGGAGTTACTTGCTTTTTCCGCTTTGCCTTGGAGTAAAACAAAAAAAAAGAAAAGCATGAGCCACAATCACTCTGTATGCTATAGATAAATTTACACTGTATATCACAGCCTACTACCAAGCAATGCACTTCATCACCTTCTTGCTGTGAAGACAGGAATTCAAGACTGTACATTTAGGCTGGAATTTAAAGACTTCAAAATGAGCCTGATTCTGTTCTCAGTGAAGTAACACTTTGGCTTTGAAAATAATTTAATCACATCAAAATACATTTCAAAAATCCTTCTCTTTTTGCACAGTAACACAGTCAGTTCAATTGTTTTAATAAAAAAATTAAGTCTGATGGAAATGGCACCCTCTTCTCCCCTAAATGGAACAAAAAGTATAGAACAGCATAGCTTGCAACGCCTCCAAAAAAAAAAAAAAAACCACCAAAAAAAGAACACAAGAACACCTAGATAAGATAGTAAATAATCCAGAAAAATTATTTATTAAGATAACTAATAAGACAATAAAAAATCTGGAAACCACATCTACCAGAGACCAGTTTTTTTACTAAGCATCTAACCGTTGCCCACAGCATGATAAATTATGCGACATTTTAAAGCATTCAGACCATATCACCTGTAAATCAGATTACACAAAGAAGCTACAAAGTTACTATTTCTACTCATGTAAAAATAGGAGACCAGATCTCTGGATGTACTGTACTACATTAAAACACCTCGTGTCTGTGTTACCACCTATCATTTCTTTAAAAAGATAAATTAACTGTTTTTTTTCTAAATCACTTTGATTTCTACAGTCATTTTGCTTTTGTTCAACATGACTGATACATCCGCACAAACTTCTAACTTAAATAAATATTTAAATTAAACGGAAACATTTGATTTATACATTTACAACAATCATCTTAAAATTTATCCACTCAAAGACACTCAGGTTGGCTCAGCTTCTGAGTGAGAAACTAGCAGATGGTGTAACAGCAAATAAAAGAAAATAAAGCAGAGAAAAAAACCCATGCAAACAAGTAAGCAAGTGACACAAGGAGGCCAGGGCAAGTGCAGATTTTTGTCATGGAGAAGTAATTCATATATTAAAATGGCAGAGGGTGGCTGTAGGCATGTTCTCAAGTTCAAATTCTTCCCACCAAAGCAGTTGATACAGAAGTGTTCAGAAGCTTGCCACAAAGCAGCAAAGAATCACAGGGAATTTGCAATTATCATATGGAATGGCATGAAGAAAACAAAGTGCAACTGAAAAAAAAAACTTTTCTTCAGGGAAAAAATTATGCAATCCACCCACACTTGGAAGGTGGATTGTTTGGTTTTTGCTGTTGCAGTTGTTGAGATAAGTGAGTGGGAGAGAAAGTTTCTTAAAGTGTCTGATAAATTATACAGAACGACATGCTTGTTGCAGCACAATGTTCACCTAATTCCTTAACCCAAGCCTGAAACAAAAGAGTTAATACAGTAATGAATTGTATGTATTGTTCACCTTTTTGTCAACTTCACTATCTGAATCACTGGCAGATGAGCTTGAAGATACAAGTTCCTTTGATTTAGGCATTCTGGGAAAAGAAAAATAACATGAAAACACTATGTAAGGAATGACATTCCACTTCGGCTGGAAAGCAATCTTCAAACCTGTTTGTACTGGCTCATCTTCTTCAAGCCCTTCTAAAGATTTTCCTGTCCTTTCATTTAAGATTTAAATATGCACTGCAGATGCAATATCAAGCACTCTTCCCTCTTGTATCTTTTCCTTTTTTTGCTGCAACTGCATTAAAACACATTTAGAGCACATTAAATGCAGTGGTTTGGCTTCTGAGCTGTCTACAGGAGAATGATTTTTCACGATTTTCATATATCCCTGCACATGACAAAACCCACAATGTAAAACACACAATACAATAGTGCCCTCCAGCTGAATCCTTTCTATTACATCCACAAACGTGAATTATTAACACTCTAGGAGTATGTACATTATGTCACAGGCATTTCACCCAGTTGGATTTGCAGGCAACATGCAGCACAATTGTCACACACGTGACGCTTGAGCTCCCACCTATAATGTAACAGTCTGAAATACACCTCAGCTGTAAAGAGCTACAGCACTGCAATTAATATTTTCACTGCAACTTCAACACATCAGTCACTGGAGACTATTAATTCGCCAGACAAGCGGACATTCAGCATTCCTTGAATGCGTGCTGCCAGGTGTCCTTGCACGTCACGGTAGTATGCAAACATGTGGTTAGGTATAGCGGTTACACATCGTCCCTGCTGCTAGAAACTTTGAAACAAAAATACCGCTCATTTGGTCTTTTAGAGTAAAATTAAGCATCCCTGAAACTGTACAACACAAACATCGGCTAGGAAAGGCCAAGATAGCATTACAGAGTATCTCAGGAAAGAAAAAAGGAGTAACAGTGAAACAGGCAGTGAAATAAAACCCCCACATATGCAAATGAAAAGAAAAAAAAAAAACCAAAAACACCAACAAAACTAAACAACCAAACCGGAGTCCAAATAATGCTAATGGATCAACGTAGTTCTAAAGCAGGGCAAGACCTGTGGCAATAACTTGTAGCACAAGGACGGAAGCTGCAGCACTGCACAGGATACAGGGTGTGAGGAAGCACACAAGCCACGCTCTAGGATGGAGGCAGAGGAGCGCTGGAATGGGACAATGTGAAAATAAGCAAACGGATGACACTGAGTCGGCGAGCCAAACGATGTTTCGGGGGATGACCCCGGGGTCCGCATGGGACGGAGAAAGGGACAATATGGAGGAAGGTGTGGGTGGAAAGTGGAGGAAAAAGGGATGTGGGGTGTTGGGTGCTCCCCAGGAGAGGCCGAGCCTGAGGAGACACCGCAGCGCCGGCGAGGGGGACGGGATGAGCCAAACCAAAGGAAACCAGGGAAAGGTAAGGAAAGGAAGACGAATCGGGAACTCCAGGTAGGCGGATCCCAGCCGCCATTTTCCTCCCCTATTCCTCTTTTCAACGGCTCGTGTCGCCCCCCGAAGATAAGAGTCGAGACCCGAACAAGGG